CAAAACAAAACAAAATTTAAAGTGTTCCCACAAGCCTCATGTGTTTGGGAAGTAATTGGATTATGGTGGCATTATAGCTGACTTGCCATCAGGAGATGGATCTGGTTGGAAGAGGCAGCTCACTATGATGTGACCTTGAAGATTATACAGTATCTCACTTCCTGGCTCCTTCCTTAGTCTCTCTGCTTCTTGTCTGCCATGAGGTGAGCAGCTTTCCTCCACTCATCCCTCTACCAGGCTGTTTTTCCCTGGAGACGGCCTACCATCCAAGGACTATGATAACTGAAACATGAGCCAAAATAAACCTCTCCTTCTTTAAGTTATGTGTATTTGGTATGGTGTCTCAGTAATGAGAAAGTGACTAAGATACAATGCATGTTCTAATCTAAAGAAACCCTTTCTCACATACCACCTTTTCCAAAGTAAGTTTGAGAAATATATAGTGTGACAAAAAAGTGCAACTCCTATCTAGCAAAGACTAAAATTATGAAAGCACTTTAAGAACACAACTAACAAGGGCCAGGGATTTAGCTCAGTGGCACTGTGCCTGCCTCACAAGCGCAAGGTCCTGAGTTTGATCCCTGGTACTAGGAAAAAAAACACAACACAAACTGCATTTACTCTTGGTCTAGCATCTCAACCAACCAACCAAACATTGTTCTCTGTAGAATAACATCAAAACAATGCACTATCCACCAGTAATTTTTGTTCTATGAACTACTTTTCTTCATTTGGGGTATACATTCACATATTGAGAGGCAAGTTGGGTGTCCTGCTTAATATAATTTCCCTCTTGAGCACCTGTTCTTAGTCATCTTGGCTGGTTTTCAAGTTGAAATTGCTCTGTGATTGGCAACACAAGACACTGTTTTCTACTTATGATCCCAAATCCAGAATTTTATGAATTATTACCTTTCCAAAGGTATCCAATCTAGGTGGTTCTCTTCAATTATCACTCTCTTTTTTCAAAAACTTATTTCTAAATTTTATTTATTTTTTCTGTACATTGTGAATTTTAATTTTTAAATTACAGAAAAACTGCAATTAATATTAGAGATTCCCAGATCCAGTTTCTCCTATTGTTAATGTCTCATGGAGTAGTATAGAACATTTCCCACAACTGAAAAAACAAATACTGATTTATTATTATTAGTTGTATTAACTAGTCTCTTTTTTATATGGAATGACAAGATCTTCTTATGTGGGTTGATAGATATTGTGACCTCTTTGGAAAATACAATTGTCTTGGTTATTTTCTTGTTGCTGAGACACAATACCTGACACACACAACTCTTAAAACAGGAGAGGTTTAACTCACAGTTTTTAGAAGATTCAGTCCACAGTCAGCTTGCTCCAAGATAGAAAGGATGTGGTGCAAGGGTTTGGTAGAAGAAAGCTGCTCAGGTTATGATGGCCAGCAAACAAAAAGCAGAGGAGCTGGAGAGGACAATATTCCCTTTCAGATCACATCTCCAGTGACCAGCCTCTTTGACCATGTACCAACTCCCAACACCACACTCAGCCACTGAACTCACTGGTGGATGAATCCACACCCTCCAAAATCCCCACCTCTGAGCATATGAGAGTTTTGGGGGACATTTCAAATCCAAAACACAACAACCATCTACCACAGTGAGGTATAAGCAGAAACCAACCTTCTGCTTTTCCCTAGTAATGTTCTGTGAACCCATTCTTTTGTGTACCTTGAACTTCAGTCTAATCTCATACTGTAGTAGGATGTATTTGGTGTTCCTCTCTGCAGAAAGATTCTATATTCCTGACATGGCAACCTCATGTGTAGCCCTATGGCTTGAATAGGATTGTTAAAGGGTGGAACCATTAACAATCAGCATAGAATTCACCATGTTTTCCTTTCTCTTTATCACGATGACAAGCAATGTTCTATATAGTGGCTACTCTTTCAGTCTGAGTCTCAAATGAACCATAGTCACAGTCAAACTACAATCAATGTGGTCTAGCACTGTCTTGGTTACTTTTCTCGTTACTGAGACAAAATACTTGTCATGCAAAGTTTAAGGAGGAAAGGTTTATTTCAGCTCAAAGTTTATAAAGGTTTCAGCCCCTAGGGCTGGCTCCAAGCAGGGCTGCATGGCAGAGGGGCATTACAGAGCAGCCAGGAGGTGGTGGTGGTGGCAGTGGCGGCAGCAGCAGCAGCGAAGCAGCAGCAGCAGCAGCACCAAACCTTCCTTCCCTCTGCCCTTTTATATTCAATCCAGACTGTCTTTTGATTGATGCCATTCATACCCAGGGTAGGGCTTCTAATATTCACATCCTTAATCCCAACATTATACTCTTGATCCACATTTACACACCCTAATCCAGCCACCTTCAACTCTCCACCTATGACTGCAAGAGGCTTTGGGGGGACATTTAGATACAAATCACAACAAGCACGCTGTTTTAGGACGCATCGGGTAAGTAGCATGTGTTACATAGTTCTGCTACCCTGAACCTCTCTTAAAACACTAGGAGTTCTTGTGTATTTTACTGAAACACCAAAACAGAAAATCCTATTTTAATATCTCGTTTCTACTGTTCTCTTATGGTAAGCTTTCTCTGGGTTTACATGTATGGAAATATTCACAAAATTTTGACTTAGAACATTGTTTTGAAAATATTAATGTTCAGAAAAGAGAGCATTTGTATAGATCCAGTACCGTAACAACACATGGCATCCCACAAATCAATTAATGTCTGTGTTGCCTGCTTTCCTGATAAGTGGTGAAACCCTACTTTAAAGTAATGTTAAGGAAAAACAAACTATCTACAGAATATATAAATTAACACATTTTTAGGGTAATATTTTTGATATAGAAGTAACTATTTTAAAAGATCTTTTTCCTAAACTTTGTTCTATAGCCTCCATAAGCCAAGGGATGTGTGTCAGAACAAAATGCCAAAGAGATGACAAAGGTGTCTCAGGCCTTTTGGTTATTTCCCTATTCAGCATAAGTATTCTGTCCACTGGCATTACAGATGGCTATTATTTAGTTGTGAGCTTGTTTTTTTAAAAAAATCTTTTTATATAACAGTAAGATAAGATGAAAGATAAAGTTCTATGCCTTCCCTAAAGTTACCAAGTATTTTCTTGAGTCTGAAACCACAACATATTTTTCTATTTAAGTTAAGTACTTTATCCCTCCCTTTCCTTCTCATTACTTTCTGTAAAAAATCTTACTGCAAAAGGAAGAACAGTATTTTGCATAGTGTTTCTCCATTATAGGCATTTTTTGATGAAAAATCATAGACCATCCATGTGGTGAGCAAGAGAAAAAATTAAAACTACATTAACAAGACATTTCTGTTCACTTATATGTGGAAAGGCTACCAATATGCCCTTTTTTATTAGAGTAATTGGGTTGATAAGACTTTTGAGAATGGAGGTATGGTGGTGGTAGTAGGTACTGACCAGAGAAGGTAATGAAGAGGTAGACAGTTATGCATGGTCTGTCTACCTGACTGGAAATTGCCATCTCTTTGTCATCAGTAACAAGCACGGGTTATTTATCCTATTCTTCATTCATGATATTCTCTTAGGCTATATATATCTCCTTTTCTAGACTATCAGCTCTATAAAAACAGGAGTTAAGTGGTCATTAAATGTTAATTTGAATAGCAGATTGGCTGAATACCATACATCAATCCAGTACTTTATTTTTTTTCCAGGGAATTCTATGGATGCAAGTAGGCCCCTATTCAATCACTGCATTCAGCTCAATGTCCAGAAACTTTAGGTCTAGAAGTGATTGCATATTGTTCAATGACTCATGAATTAAGAGAAAATTATCTGCTCCTTCCCTTAGCCAATATATAATGACAGACAAGGCATATGACAATCACAATAAAAATTCTTATTTAGAAAAGAATGAAAGATGTACAAAGTCCTAGTCAATAACAATGCTAGTAACCTACTAGTCAGGCATTATGAAATTTCTCATTTTTGAGCTTGACTTTTTGGCATTATGCATTTCTACATGGGTTGAAGGATTAAAGGCTTTCTATGTATATGTAACAATTTTATATGTGGAACAGGTAAGTTTACTGGCTCACATAACAAAATTCTGGGGTATATCACAGATTGGGGACACCTATCTGATTTGGTTTGAGTTTTGGCTTCATTTTCATTGGAAATATATGGCTCAATTTCGTTTCATTAGCACTCACTGGCCTAGTTTGGGTCAAGCATCCATTCTGAATCAATTAACAGCAGTAGGTGGATATTCTAACTGGCTAGATTATGGTCTCATGGAGAAGATAATCTCTCTAAAACCACATTAGCTTTTACCTCATTTAAAGAAAATTTTAGTCTTCTATCATTACTGTTGCTCGGTTTACAGACTTGCCTTTTTGCTTAATCTTTGCATACAATAGCCCTTATTTATAGACAGCATTTCTACTTAAGTGAAGGTGGAGTGATTACAGTGTGTTTCGGGTGTTTAGGGAGAGGCCTCTTAGAATTGTCCCCCAAGTTCCTCACTATTAACTCAGCGATTGCCTACTGTCTCTTGTCTGAGAGGGCTCTTCAGAAATAAAAATGTTTCAACTCAGGAGAAAGCAAGCAGAAGTCGGGCACAGAGAGAATTGCGGTGAGGGAGAGAGAAGCTGATCTTAGGGTCATTAAAAAACGAAAAGCAGAGCACTGTGTTACAAGATGGGAACATTTACCTGAGGTTACTGTGAAGAAGCGCTCAGAAGCTAAGCTTGGTATACTTCACCAGGTTATTTTTAACACCAACTACAAACCATTAGTGATTTCATGAAACATTTTTGGTGGTGAAGACCAGAATTAGGGCAGAATGCAAGTTCCACGACAAAGGCCAAGATACCCTGGATAAAACACCGACTTTGTTCGGCTGACACAAAACTGGATTTCTCCACTCGCTGCTGTCAAAAATCCTCGCCTGACCCCATGTTAGCCGGCGCTAACAGGAGCCACTCCCCTCTTGGCGACCGGCTCCGCACTGTGTCATTTCCGGTCTGGGCAATTCTCATCCGGGTCAAACAGAGCCTCCTGCTCTCTGCGAGTAGTGGAGGTACCTCGCTGTCCATGTTATCTTCCAGGGAGATCGAGCCGTAGTGTCCTGAGGCGAGGAACTACCTCTGTCCCAGGCAAAGAAAGTCAAGACCTGGGAGCGGGCCGCAGCTGGGCCGCGCCGGTGAGATCTTGCGGCACTGCTCCTCCTCTTGCGGCTGTCTCTGGGAACTGGGTGCCAGCGCTGAGGGGCCTCCAGCAGACGGCAGCCCCCTTCCCTGGCTCCCCTGCCCACCCTGCCAGGGAGGGCGGAAGATGCCAGTGAAGAAGAAGAGAAAAGCCTCCTCCGGGGTGGCAGCGGCAGTAGCGGAAGACGGTGGCCTAAAAAAGTGTAAAATCTCCAGGTACCACCTCCCCCCTCCCTTCAGTCTTTCCTCCTTCCTCCTATGCAGGACAGTTCGGGGATAAAAGAAGTTGGGCCTAGCCCCCCGGGCTCAGACTGGAGAGGTGAGACCCCTGTAATCGCGCTGGGCCGTAGATGAGAACACCGACTCTCCGCGCCGGACCCGACCTCGTGTTCGCTTGTGTGCTGTTCTCTGGCGTTCAAGGGGGACTGAAGAGTCCCCCCACACGAGAGTCTCTGTACCCCGAAGGGTGGGGAAACAGACTTGTAAATATGTATTGCACTCCCTTCCCCTGCCCTCTACTCCCTTAATCCTTCCTTCGCTTTTTTTCCAAACCTAGAAGGATCACTTTTAGAATTCCTGTGTAGAGTGTGAAGAAAGGAGCAGAGCGTGAGGAATTTTGACAACTGCTTTGGGAATCATAGCAAGGAAAAGTATTCAATAATTGGCCTCCATATTTAGTATTTGAAGTTACCGAAGCTGGACGGTGCCAGCAGGAGGCTTTTTAAATTACAGGAGCCCAATTTTCTGAAAGTATATCGTTCCACCTATGCCAGTCTCAATGTGGGGAATTAGAAAGGCCCTGCATGCTTTTATTTTCTAGCATTCACCACACTGTTAGCTCTCAATATGAATATTAATAATCTGGAAGCTATTGTAGTCTGTATTCTCTTGGAGAAAAAGAAGACAAATTAGAACTATAGTTTAGGTCTTTGACCCCTTTTGTAGCATTATCATTCAGCCATCACAGAAACATTTTACGCTGCAAAAAATCTTTGCAATGTAGGTTTGAAAAGTGTCCCCACCCCAGTCTTTTTTGGGTATCTTTAAAGTTCAGATGCTGCCATTAAAACCAACAGTAGCCAATACTGGATGAAATAATTGCACTCTCCTTGAAGAGAGATCTGTTTAAAATGTGAGGGAGGTGAGTTGTATGGATTACATCTTTCTTTTTTAATTAGCTAATTTTTTCCTTCATTACTATGTTTTTGGCAAAAGGAGTCTGAGAAATGTTATTGTTCTTTTGTTTTTTTGAGACAGAATCTTGCTATGTATTTCAGGCTGCTCTTGAACTTAGTATATACCCAGGCTGGCCTCCAAGTCATGGCAATCCTCCTGCCTCAGCCTCCTGAGAGCTGGGATTACAGGCATGCACCACCATGCCCAACTCTTGGGCTATTGGAATAATTTTCTGATACTGGACCACTTAGTGGCGAATATTAGAATTTGATATGGTTACTTTACTAGCTCATATTTTTATGAAAAACAGGCAAATTGGTTTTAATTCGTGGTCATCTTAAGTGTCTGATGTATCAAAATTATTTACATGAAGCATATTAAAATAGCTAGGCAGGCAATATTATTGGAACTCAGGTGATACTGTACTTTTGCTCTGTCAATTTAAAATTCTAAATACGGCATCCTTATTTTACATTGCATTATGCAATTACATGGTTCTATGAAGTCCATTAAATCCTAGAGGCCATTTTTGAATTTCCCAACTTTTAGTGATTTTATGAAAAAAAGAAAAATAGAATCAGACTGAATATCTTTGGCACAATTATTTGATCAATTTTTAATTATTAACTTTTAGGGGTTTTTTTGTTGTGCTTTCTTTTTTTAATCTGTGGAATTTCATATACCATTAGGTCCTAAGTCATTGTTTATCTTTTTAAAAATCCACTTAGGTTTGATAGGTGATGCATCTCTTAATATTTTTATTTATATCTCAATTTATTTTCAAATATTAAGTATCAAAATACACTTTGCAAGATTTTGTTTTCAGATGTGTATGCATTATACACAAATACAATTTCCATTCACATAGTGGCAATTTCACAGTATATAATTTACCAATCCTGCATTGTAATTTAGGTTGAACTGTGTAGTTCTAAACTCTGGGGAGATAATTTTAGTTGATATTACTGGAATTTGGTAGTGAACGAAGTATCATTTGGGTTTTGTTAGCCAGAAATTCTTACTATTTCAAATTGCAAATATTTGACTCCATTTTTTTCTCTTATAATGTCATCTTAAAAAATAACTTTTATTTGAATTGAAGTAGTTCTTATTGAACTTAGTTTTTCACTAAGAGTTGAGACTTGATAAAAATCTTAGGCATTTGTGTGTTTTCTAAGCTATTGCAGATCCCAACCCCCTGCTAGACTAATAAGTGGAGAGGAACATTTTTCAAGCAAGAAGTGCCTGGCTTGGTTTTATGAGTATGCAGGTAATGAAATTAATGTAAGAAGAAATCAGTCATATGCTTTAAAAAGTTTTTTTTCCATTTATTCATTTAACAAATTATTTATTACAGTCCTGCTATGTTTGAGTGCTGTGTACTGGGATCAGTGTCAAGACAGGATTGTGGATTGGCTAAGAATTTGATGACATTGTAGGCTGATGTTTCTGTAAATATATTGACTATATATTTAATAGGAAAGGAGAAAATGCGTAAACAGAAACAGATTCACTTACATTCATTGGCTAAAGTAGTATTCTGGAAAACAAAAGTACATAATAAAATATTTTTCAGAACTGGAAACATTTTCCAAAACTTAGGGAGACAGTAAAATATTTAACCCTCAGATAAATCCTGTCCAACATACTTATCCTATAGTGATTGTTATTTAGCCATTTCTATGAGAGATGCAATAATAAGAAAGTAAGTAGGTTGATATTAATACACTGTGATAAGTACTATATTAGAAAGATGCAGAGAGAATTCATAGGGGGAATGTATAACCCAGCCTGGAACATGTCAGGGGAGCTTTCTTGAAGGAGCTAATTAACTTCAGCTAAATCCTGTAAGTGGTAATTGAAAAGCTCTAGGCTCAGAATGATAACCTAGTATAGAGTTGAAAGTTAAAGCCAACCAGGGATGAGGCCAAGGAGTTCAGCAAATGCAAATACATGAAAAGGAATACTTGTTTCCCATTTATTACTTTTCGTGAGAACATGTAAGAACTTTTTTCCCCTCAGAATAGTTTTGGCCTTTTGGAGTTATTGATTTTAAAGCTTTATGTTCTTCCTTTTCCATTTCCTTACCTGGTTCCACAATTTTTGGTTTTTGTTCTCCTTTTATTATTATTCTCAAACTTTTTGTTTAAAATAAAAGTATATTTTTAGTTATTGTCTTAAATTACTGCTAATGTATGATAAGATCTAAATGTACTCTGGACTTGATGTAAAGTTTAGGCCAACTGTGTGGAAAGTGAGACTGTTTTGAGAAGGAGGCAGCAACTTCACGGTTGGTATCTGCTGAGTGCTCCCAAAAGTATTATTTTAAAATTGTTTAGTAGCAGAACAGATTCTTTCTAGACCAGAAAAAGGCTAATCCTGTCATCCCAAGATAACCACTAACCCAATTTAAATGAAAGGAATTCGTTTTCTTACTGACCTCCATTTTAAGATGTTGACCCATTATTCAAAATGCCAGTTTTACTGGTATGCATGATATAGAATCCAAAAAAAGGTCATTAATCTTATTTTACTAATAAAGGTTATTAGATACCATAAAATGAGTACTTTTTTTCTTTCATGATTACTTGTTTTACCTTCCTTGAGTATCATAACATTCTAATGAAGCATTTCTTATGCTAACATTTTTAAATGGCCAACATAATAACTGTTCTCACTGTCCCAGGAACTGTGCTAAATATATCATTCTAATTTTTGACCGTTCTGTTAATTAGGTGGTGTTACCCTCATCTTATAAAGGAGAAAAGTTACACTTAGATTAAGAAGTTTGTCCAAGATCATATAGTGTCTAGAGCCAGGATTCAAACCTCAGTCAATTGTGACCCAGAGATCACGCTTTTAAGTACTACTGTCTTACCATGTGTTTTAAAAAATTTATTTAAATATGTACATGGTTAAATAACATGGCAACTAATTTTCACTTTCACAAAAATATTAGTACACTTGAAGTAACTGTCATTCAATGATTCATTAGATAAACTTAGGTTTGTAAGCCAGGTACTGTGCTAAGTGCTGGGGATATTATAGTGAACAAGTCAGATATGATCTCTGCCCTCCATGGACTTGGCTTCTAAATGAGGAAGACAAATTGAAAATAGAAGTGTAGGCAAGGTACTTAAAACATTTTGGAAAATAATACAGTAATAAATATAGGGAGGTTCAGGAATAGAGAAGAAAGAAAGGAAGGGTTGGATGGACTTTCAGATATAATGATGAAGGAAGGCCTGTCTATGGAGGATATTTGGAGAGAAACCTGCTAGATAGGGAGACTAGTTGTTTGCCCAATAAACCTTAAATGTTTTGTCCTTAAAATGGGAAATGTGCCTCATGAAAATGGAGATAGTAGTTGTGCCTACTGAGAAAAATACATACAAAGTCCTTAGTATAGTACCTGCAATATCATCAGAACTTAATAAATGTTAACTATTGTTGAAACAGCAGTAGCATTATAGCATTTACTGGTCGTATGTTTTCTATAGTGTTTCAAAATTGACAGAAACTCCTGTAGCACATGATAAAATGCTGTGCCACTGAACAACGTATATATGTGTGTGTGTATATGTATGTACATATATATGTACATATATATGGTCCTGAGCATCTGTTATGGTTGGCATGGTATTAGGTCCTGAACATATAGGTGGAAACATTTCTTTATGGTTATTAAAAAAATCAGAAAGTTTAAGGTGTTTGTTTTTTTCTAATTTTGAAAATATCACAAAACTTGTTAAATATAGTATTACAAATAATGTGTAATAAACATAATAATTTGCCCTGTCACTCTTGAGTGATATTTAAATTAACAAGAATCATTAATACAGTTGTCCCTCTTTATACATGGGGTGAAGTGGTTCCAGGACAACCCCAACTCTGCAGTAGATATCAAAATCTGACAGTGCTCAAATCCCTCATGTAAAATTGGTTAGAATTTGCATATAACCAATACTTATCCTGCTGTAGACCGTAAATCATCTCTAGACTACTTATAATACCTATTACAATGTAAAAGCTAATGATGAGGAAAAAAAGTCCCTACATGTTCGGTACAGATGCATTTTTTTTTCTCTAAGTATTTTTGATGAACAGTTGATTCAGTCCTGGATGCAGAACCCACAGATCTGGAAGGCTGTGTACTAGATCTGTAGTAACAAAAACATAGCAAGTGACAGGAAATTTTTAAAGTCTTAGAATTTAAAAATATGGTTAGAATCGCATAGTCCTGTTATAGTAGCCAGCTGATAAACTGTACTAGAACAGTGATCTAAATTATCTCCATGGCTTCTTAAATTGAGTGGAAATCTAGTTGCCTGAAAGAGTTAATTAAATTCAGCTCTGGAGATTTTACTCAGGTAGTAATTTTATTGGAAAGATATGGCTCAAATTTTGTAATTAACATTATGCAGTTAGAGAAAGAATATTGCTTTAGACTTAGATCTGTCACTATTTGCATTGCTTTGGGAAAGTCACTGAACCTCTGTAGACCTCTGTATAAGGATATAAAGTCATGCACACAAGTGTGTATATGTATAAAATATATCTTATATAGCCTAATTTAACTGGGTTTTAATCAAATTTAGTCACTAATTAGCCTCTCAGTTTCTAGGGGAGTGTTTTTACTACAGTAAGTGACATTCCTTAACTCCAGCTTTGTCTTCTAATCACTGTTTTGGCAACTTTGAGGACAAGTCTGCTTTCTTATTGCATCAGAAAAATCTAGAATATAATCCTATCATGTCTTAAAAATATCCTTTGTTTTCTTCTCAGATTTTTAAATCTGATTATTATTCTCATCCAACCATATATAAAGATCCACACGTAGTTATATATTTTTAGAAGCCTTATTTTATATATATGCTTTTCACTGTTCATTTATTTATTTACTTTGATGCTGGGGATTGAACCTAGTGACTTACTTATGCTAAACACACTCTACCACTGAACTACACCCCGACCACTATGTATGCTTTTAAAATTACAAATGTAACACATTCTAATTAGAATAATTCTCTAAATATATAATATTAGGAAGTGAAAGTCTGTAATTACCATCCCCTTTACCTTTTAACACCTCAGTGCACTGTTAGTACTTATTTTAACTTAAAGACATTTATACTTTTACACAATTTAAAAGGGTCTTGGTATCTTAACATTGTCTTGGCAGCCTGACCACATATGGGATGACTACATTGTATTAAGAAAAACTGTAGAATGCCGGCTTCATGTTGTACATGTAACCAACTGATAGTGCTATAAAACCCACCCGTGCTGTGTAGATCTTGTCTGACTTACAAAGCTTGAGTATTTTCAGTCCTTAAGAAAGGAAAATAGAGGCTTCTCTTGACTACTTTAAGAACATTTTAAGACTATACAGTACTTTCACAGTGGTAAACATTCTCCTATGATATTTCATATCAGAAGATTGTTTTATTCTTACCAGGGCACAAAAGAGACTTAACTAATGTAATTACTATATTTTGAAAGTCTGATAACAAAAGAATTCTGAGAATTGATGTATTGACTTATATTTAGTAATAGTAAGAAAGAACAATAAAAATTAAATTAACTACCATTAGTTAATGTTCAGACAAATGATAGACGATTAAACTTGTGTGTCTATGTTAAGGTGTAATAATTAATTCCTTAATGTTTATTTTAGAACCTATATGATAAGGAAAATTTCTCTTCCGAAAATTAAATACAGTAATTTCCATAAATCATTTTTATAACATTTTCAAGAATTAAATTATATTGAAATAGATTTTAAACAGGTAATAGATAATTTTCTATTTTTAGTAAGTAAACAATTATTCTCCTTTTGATTACTATATTGAACTGTGTACTAGTTAGGACACATTCTAGTAGAAGCTCCAACTTTCTCATGCTTTTTTATATTCTTGTGTGGCTAAAACTTTGTTCTGAGTAGGCTGTCAGAAAATGTTTTTTAAATAGGTAGTTTTAAGTTTTTGTACAAACTTGATTGATACTAATAGAATATTTCTTTACTGCTCCTTTTAAAAAGTTTAAAAATTTTCTTAATTTCATGTTGTAATGTGGTGTTCAAGGAATACTTAAAAAGTTTTATATTCTAAATCCTGTAGCAAATATTTATACTTTATTGAAACTGTGCCAAAATTCAAATTCAGTTATTTGTAAAATATGTTGTATTCATAGATACCTTTTGTATAATGGTTTGTTTCATATTGATATTAAATTATATATATATGAATTATTTTTGTCTTTGAAGGTCCTGATGAAGTTGTAGGGCCAGAAGGAATGGAAAAATTTTGTGAAGACATTGGTGTTGAACCTGAAAATGTATGTTTTATTTCTAAGTGGAATGGATTTTAAGTGGGGTATTACACATTGATAAATTCTGAAAATTGAGACTTTACTCTTATATGAAGAGTTGTTTCTTCATATTTAATACTATAAATTTTCATTTAGGATCTTCTTAATCAGTTAAAGTCAGTCAAGCATTCTCTTGATGCAGATTTCATTTTTAATAGAGATACTCTGTTTTCATAAACTATTAGAACTCTTAACATTTAAGAAATTGGTACATAGCAATTCTTTGTATTTAAAAGTTCCAGAGGTTGTACTCTTTAATAGTTGAAGGATGGAAATAGTTGTGTAAAAATGCTCTCCGTGATAAATATAGACATGATTATCTCCTTGCTGACTTTTCCCCTATCCTTTATGTTCTGTTCTTTCCAGATTATTATGTTAGTTTTAGCGTGGAAATTGGAGGCTGAAAGCATGGGATTTTTTACCAAGGAAGAATGGTTAAAGGGAATGACTTCATTACAGTAAGAAATTTTTTTAAAAAACAAATTTGATGGCCTATTTGAAGATCTTAATTGGTATTTTGTGTTTCACAGTTTTCGGGGGTAAGGCTTCACCTTTAAGTCAGATCAGTTTGATCTATAACAATAAGTTGGGAATTGACAAAATTATATTATGGTCTTGGCAAATGAATAGTAAACCATGTTTTATATTATTTAAGAAAGCACTTTTGATAAGTGAATTAGAAGTTACTGATCAAAGACTATTCACAAGTTGAATAATAAAGGCTTTCTCAGTGTAAATACAGAATGTCACAATATAAGGAGTTGCTCAATCCTAAGCTCAGGGCCTCCTTTCTCCCCTCTTTAATAAATTTGAAGCGTTATATGCTTCTATGATCTTTTAAGAAATAAATCTCGCAAAGAACGAAAGTAGAAATGTTGTGTGGGCTTTACCATTTTATAGTTACAGTCTTTACCATTTTATAGTTTACGATTTTATAGTTACATACTTTCAGTTTAAGATGCTTTGACTTAGTAAGAGATACAACTGCTCCTTTATAAAGGTAATTTGATTTTGGCTTTCCAGAGTAAAATATACTTAATTTCAGAATTAGAAATTGTTAATTTCATATTATGTCATGTTCCTAATGGTTATTCAGAATGTTACCAGTCAGCATTTAAAATAGAGGAAGCATGAATTTATAATACTTTTAGAGCACATAGTGGGGTTTTATTAGCCATGTGGGTTCCGATTGTGATTATGTTTTCATTAACACATTTAACTACTCTTAATCCTTGTTTTCCTGTCCTTCAGTTGTTTAAAAAAGTATTTGTTTATATGGCACGTAAATTTTTCTATTTGAATTTTCAGTATGTAGTCTTGTAATTCTCTTTATGAATTACAGCATTAACATACATTTTATATTTTTCTCCTTGGGTAAAAACTTTTTCTCATATAAACCAAATCAAAATTTATAGAACAATATAAAACCAACCCTCCCACTTTTATTATTTATAAATACAGAGTTTAAAACTCAAAGAAATTAACAAAAAATCTGGCACAAAGTATACACAATTTCCTATTAGTACAATGAGGATTTAGAATTTAAATTTCCTAATTTCCAGTCTACCATACTGTACTTTTTGTCATATTGTTTTTTCATATGTAAATCAAAATTACAAATCAAATTTATGAAATAGAGGGCCATTATTAGCTTTTTCAATCATAGTGTTTGCAGCCAAGATTGAATTCTGTCATACATTGAGGAATCATAATATACCAAGTTAAATACATAGATTCTGAAATTCTTTGGGCTAAATTTTTAATTAGTATTTTAGAGGAAGATTAAATAAAACATACAAGGGGATATGCAAAGAATGTAAACTACTTTTTATACAACTGAATGTTCTATTAAAATTGTAACATGGCTTATTGTAAAAAATGTTATTTGACATCATTGTAAGTGCTTTTTCTGTTACTGCTTTTTGTGTACTACTTTGTGGAGTATCCCAACTAACAAAAAGTTACTCATAGTTTACGGTTTTGTATAAATTGATATAAAAAACAATAATGCAAATATATTAAAAAACATTTCTAATATTTTTGAATGATTAAAACATAATCTTGAGTGTAGGACCAGAAATTGACTAGCTCATGAACATGGCTTTTATTAACATACATTTCCTATATGAAGTTTGAAAGCTATACAAAATAAAAACAATTATTCAGTATTTAAAATTGCCACAGAATTTTATCTTTCACTTACTATTATCCCTTACCCATTTACCCAGAGTAGTATACTGTAGAGCCTTGAAGTTACTCAAATAAAAAAGCATTCTTGACTGGGAAATGGTTGTTTCTTTCCCATGATTAGATTACTATGTGAAGTATAAAATATCTTCCTTACCTTGATTTAAGTCTTTCTGCTCCCTGAATCTTCTTGTGAAAAACTTGTGAAGAATAAAATAGTTTGAAATGTTATCCAAGAGACAAAATAATTGCTATGCCTTTTTTGTTGTTGTACTGGGAATTGAACTTGGGACCTTGCGCTAGCTATGTCTTAATTTTAAATTTGTAGTTGCTTAGGCGGCTGACGTGGCTCGGTCAGGAGCGGGCAGGACTGATGTTCTAAATTTGTAGTTGCTTAATGTATTTGGTTTTATATAATAAAATCATAAAATATAGTCTTACATTCTCAATTCCCTATGTATATTTTTCATATTATTAGAATTTAATTTAATTTAGGCATCTGATGGTCTTTAAATCATCTTAAGGTAGTTATCAGTAGTTTCAATTAATTAGTAGTTTTAATTAATTTTAGCCTTTGGAAAACTTTAGTAGTACTATACTAAAGAATAGAAATAGTCCAGTGGTTAAAACATACTGTGGTCAAGAATAGTGGGCTATAATAATTATGAGTAATTAATAATCTATATTGTATAATCCTTTACAGTTTTCAGAATACTTTCATTCATTTTACAGATGTTTGTTCATAAGCTTCCTATAAATTAATCCACTTTCCATTTTGCATGAAAGAATTTGTGTATTTGAATTTATATATATAATTGGACTATCTCAGCTATTTTGCAAGTTTCAGAGAATGAAATTGCCACATCCTGTTAAATATTTTGTTCCATGTCATTTTCATTGGTAATAATGGTCAAATTTCCCTGGAAGCAATTTAATTGTACAGATATTTATGTTACACACCTATATTATATAAAGTATTGTGCCAGTTAGTAGTGATCATACGCTTGACCTTTAGTTACATTCTAATAACTCTGGGAAGACATAATATTATAACCATAAATCCAAGTAGAATATAACAAATGCTAGAGAAAAAATACAAAATACCAGGGTAGCAAAAATACTGATAAAGCTAGTTTCAATTGAGCAGGGAAATTTTTATAAATGTGGCTTTTGAACTGGAACTTAAGAGTAAAAGTTTTTTGGTTGAGTATATGAGAAAATGTTGTAGAAGAGAGAAATTGTGAGCAGAGTCTTGAGGAAGGAAAGCATATATTTGAAGGAAATAAACTGGTTATTAGAATCATAAGGCACATAAAATTGTCAGGGCAGGTTTTAAGTTCTAGATAGGTAAATGATGACGTTGCGGAGCACTTTAGCTTACATGTTGAGGGAGTTTAAACCTTACGTTGTAGATATTGGGAAACATTTTTGAGCACAGGAATTTTCAGAGATTTTGGAGGTACTTTTCAATGAGCAGTTATTAATGTTCCAAGGTCATAGTGGTTTTTTGTTGTTTTGTTAGTTTGTTTTTTCTTTTTTGGTGGAGGGGGATATTCCTGGGGATCAAACCTAGGGGTGCTATACTGCTGCGCTACATTCCCATCTCGTTTTATTTGAGGCAGGGTCTCACTAAATTACCCTGCTGACTTTTTGAGTATTTTGTGAGAACTATGGATTTTGTTCCTATTAAAATGTATATGTACTGCTACACACAAAACTTTTCATGTTATTAGTAGGTTTTGGATTTTTCTTTTCCTCTATCTACAGTTCCAAGGATACTTGGAAGTTTTGTTTACTGTAGTGAAAAAGTCCTCACATCTGCTAGCTGAAAGTTTGGTGTGGAGCAAGGATAAAATACTACCAGGCTGGTGAAGATAATTGTGACCATAGATGCTTGAAGAGGACTGTACTTAATTATGACAATGAAATGAGGAAGCAAGCATCTGACATCAGTGATAGTAACTTAAGTTGTCTGGCAGTATGACATAGGTTGCACCTTTTCTTACCTTCATATTGAGCCCTGAACTTTGAAGATTAAAGGGACTGGCCTGGCTTGATTTTCTTTAAGAGAGAAGGGAATCCGGGAATGGGAAACATTTATTTGACTTTTTTTCTTTTTTGGTGGAAGCAGAACAGCATAGTAGGTAGGTGTGCTATGTGCCTCATTCATTTGGTGTTTTAGACCCATCTATGAATTCTCACTAACATTCTTCCTCTTGACTTTTTCTGTATGGTTATCATAACAATTTTAAAATGCCCTCCTTCACATGTCCAAATACACCAAGAGGTAGACTGTATTGCTGAAGTTGGTATACCAGATGTAGAGAAAATTCTAAATCCAGAACTGTGAGAAATTCTTTGTATCATTGTGCCACATCACACTGGATTTACTAATGAGGAAGAGAACCTCATTTAGGTCTGATAAACAAATGAGACTTTATTATCATCTTACAGGTCTTTAATGAAGCAGAAATTCAAAAATCTCCCTTAATAATCAGATGTTTAGCAATACCTAGGAAATTAACATCCAAGTTCTAAAGTTGAAATTTAAATCCATTTTGTTCTTATTTTAACCACAGTGGCCTTGAAAAGTGGTATCATATGCCGGTGCTCCCAAAAATCTGTGTGGCTTTATTTGGTCTTATTAAGAATCTCTTTCTCCTATGATGTGCTAGTTAAGAGTATACTGTACTTCTCTTTTCGTTTAGAGAAAAATAGAGAATTTACAAGTTCTGAGGTATGCACATTCTTAACTATTCAAAGTGTACTTAGGGACTAGATTGAATATGACTTGTGTTGGTGTTAATGACTGCTTGGGTTATCCTCATTGGTTTTTCTAGGTCCATTCTTTTGTGGTAGTAAGTGTGGAGCTTTGTACTCTTAACTCTTTCACTCTTCTCTAAGATGAAAACATTGTCATTTGTACTGGGTTCTTTATCTGATTGAGACTTACGGTACACCATTAGGAATGGTAGGACACAGTTTGAACAAAAGTGTATAATGCAGGTGATTTTTTAGTCCATTTGCCGCAAAAGGAGCATAGTAAGCTTAAGAATTGTGTCCAGCACGTAACACATGTATTCCTTTTATGGTTGGCCTATGAAATTATTGTTATCATCATTTTAAAACTGACCAAACAGGCTGGAAAAGGTTAAGCTATAATTGTCCTAAAGTCACATGGCTGAAAATGGAAAAATTGGAATTTCATCCAAAGTCACTTTGACTTGAAACTTTGTTCTTTCACCCTGTCTCAAGCTTATTAAGATTATAT